ACCGCTTGTCGCGTGGTAGACCGGGGTTCAATTCCCCGTCGCGGAGTACTTTCTGCGCAAATGGTTTAGTGGTAAAATCCAACGTTGCCATCGTTGGGCCCCCGGTTCGATTCCGGGTTTGCGCATTATTTTTTTGCATCTAATTTTAGTTTCTAACATTCGGAAAATAAAACTAAAGCAGGAGCAAGATTTCATTTCTTTCTTCTTTTCTTTTTTTCTTTTTTTTTATAAAAAAGCGACTTGTTAGCTAAGACCTGAGTATATAAGAATCATATTAAATTTCCCAAGACTCAAATCTTGGTGCTCTATTATACCCATAGTTGAATTCAAATCAACTTCCGCGCTACCTAGAAAATTTGTGTAACTTTCACTTTTACAGGAAAATTTTTCAATTCTTCATTATACATCTGACAGTACAAATATCAACTTGGAAAGGACTGAACGACGAAAGATAGAATAAAAGTCCAACATGTCGTTTTACAGCAGTGTAAGCGAATTATTGCGTCCGGTAACGCAGTTCAAGTTTTCATCACTTGTTAACGTGTCTCAAGTGCGTAATGCTACCAAAAGAGTCTCTGGTTCTAGAACCAACAAGAATGATTCTGCTGGTAGAAGATTAGGTCCTAAGGCATACGAAAATACTTTTGTAAAGCCAGGTCAAATTATAATGAGACAAAGGGGTACTAAGATACACCCAGGGGAAAATGTAGGGATTGGTATTGATCACACTATTTACGCTTTAGAACCAGGTTATGTCAAGTTCTATTACAATCCTTTCCATCCATACAGAAAATATGTTGGTATTTCATTGAAGAAGGATTTAGATCTCCCAACTCCACATTTTGAGCCCCGTACTAGAAGATTTGGTTATGTTGAATTGACCGGCTTGGATGCCACTAAGGAAGAAACTAGAATGTCAAGAAAGGAGTTTTTGGCTACACCTAAGTTGAAGGCTTTACAAGAAGAAGAATCTGCATTTGCTCACAAGACTATAGAATATTTTAAGGAGCAGTTGAGTGAATATAAAGATACAGTAGAGGATGAGAACATGGGTGCTGAAAGATTATTCAAAATTTATCAATTAGTCACAGTAGGTCAACCACTCGAACAAGCTCAAATACAAGCCACCTTCGATTACTTATGGGATTTGAAATTAGCACACAACGGAGCTGATATCAGCACTCAACGTGAAAAATATTTGAATTTCGTAGAGAAGTTTGACAATACTGTCAGTGTTGATTTCTCCAATCTTCAAGACGCCAAATTGTTTGCATACATTACACCTCAAGCAAGATCAGCCAAGAAACAGGAGATAACAAACAAGCTTGAAACCTCATATAGTAATAAAGTGTTAAAGGCATCTGAGAAGTCTGAAGTTATGAACTTGATAAAGTCTCCAGGTATTTTCTCACAAAAGGAACAAACAGATTTGACAGATACTTTCTTGCCCAAGGTTTTACCTTTGGATGTTCCAGGATCTATTATCGAAGATGTTGACACCAAAAAGCCTCCCAAGGGTGTTGTTATCACCAGAGTTTACGATGCTGAAACCAAAACCTTAAAAGTTGTTGGCAGACCAAAGGAGGTTTACTCCAACTAGAAATTGCACTAAATTATGACATAATGTAAATAGATAGGTAGGGATTTGCTACCAATGCATGTACATAAAAGCACTGGGTTGTATCCTGTAAATCTCATTAGTACTGGTGAACACTAACGTTCACAAAACCCGAAACGTGAAAAATAAATTCGAGGAGCGCGCAAAAAATTTAACCGGGATTCTTTAAACGCCAACTACATCAACTTCAATACCTTTAATCATATAAAGTAGTGCGGCCAAATAGAGGAACAATATGGAACAAATAACAACTGAGTATAAGAAAATATCGGTGACCTATCAAGAGTTCTTGGATAAGTCTGTTCCTCGTACTCATGAGAGATGGATAGCATTTGGTGTCTTGTTGTCTTTGTTTGTCCTTAGAATTGTACTTTCTCAAGGATGGTACATTGTGTGTTACTCTTTGTTCATTTACTTATTGAATCAGTTCTTGCAATTCTTAACACCAAAGTTTGATCCTTCGTTAGAACAGGAGATGCAAAATGAGTCCATTGAAGAAGGAATTCCTGAAGAAGGTAGTGAGAAAGATGAAGAATTTAGACCTTTTATTAGAAGATTGCCCGAGTTCAAGTTCTGGTATAACTCCATTTTTTCTGTCACACTTTCACTCATCTTAGCCTTCATTCCCATCGTTGATATACCTGTTTTCTGGCCCATATTAGTGATGTACTTCATCATTTTATTCTCATTGACTATGAAAAGACAAATCCAACACATGGTTAAGTACAAGTATCTTCCATTTGATTTAGGTAAGGCTAAATATGGAGGTAGAAACTAGGTTTAATAATCTTGGTACCATATTTGATGGATGCAGTTTGGACAAAAAATAATGACCATATCGCTACAAAAGTGTTAAGTTAAGTTGGCGAGACCTTAAGAACAAAATCTTGCTTCGGTCCTTCTTCCATTCGTCTAATGTATATATATGTATAAATATACAAGTCTTACATAAAGTTGTATAATTTACTCTAGCGATAGGACCAAAGATGGCTATGTTGACTACGGGGTACCTTTTTTCCGGCATACAAGCACATCCTATCCCAAACCACCCGATCATGTCAACGAAAAATACATTCGTGGAACCGGTAAATTAAGTCCTACAACAAATGAAAGTATTCCTTATTTAACACCTTTGACATTTAAGTTTGAATCAAACATGAGTCGCTCGGAGGTCGACCTTCAAAATGCAGTGAAGAAGGCATGTAACAACGATGAAGTGCCACCTAAGAGAAAACATGTGAGAGCATGTATTGTTGACTCTTGGGACCAAAAGAATTCCCGAGCATTCTGGAACGCAATCAAGGTCCAACCATTACAAAGCAATGAAGTTCAGTTATTCAAGGCATTGATAATGATGCACAAGGTATTACAAGAGGGTCATCCCAACTGCTTGAAAGATGGTTACCGTAATCGTGATTTCATCCAATCACTTGGAAGAGTGTTCCCTTCCCAGGGCCTGGGTTACGGGAGGTTGATCTCACAATACGACAAGTACATCTTGCAAAAGTTGGATTTCCATCGGAATAACCCTAATTTTACAGGGATGTTTGAATATGACGAATATATTTCATTGCGAGCTGTTAATGACCCCAACGAGGGATATGAACTGTTACTTCAATTAATGGATTTACAGGATCTGATTGAGAACCTTCAAAAGTTGATCTTTGCCACAATTGCTCAAACACCAAATAACTTGTGCAGAATCAGTGCTTTAGTTCCATTGATCTCAGAATCATACGGAATCTATAAGTTCTGTACTTCAATGTTAAGGGCAATGCACCAGCAATTGGGTGACGACGAGGCATTGATGGGCTTATTCGACAGATTCAACTCACAGCACTTTATGTTACGGGACTTTTACACTGATTGTCAATCACTCAAATTTTTAACCAGTATTGTCACCGTTCCCAGATTACCAAACAACCCTCCTGATTTGAAGGTTAGTGACGATGATAATGCAATTCCATCAAGACCTGCTGAATTGTCATCTCAACCAACAGGATATTCTAATACTCAAAGTTCGGAGAATGGATTCGATAGGGAACCTCAACCCCAACCCCAATTGTCATACCAACCAACTGGTGTTGCTTTTTTACAACAACAACAACTTGAACAGGAGCGTATCCAAAGAGATTTAGAATTGAGACGTCAGCAACAAGTTGAAGAACAGATGCAGCAACAAAGATTATTCGAAGAGCAACAACGGCAACAAGCTCAATCTTTTATGCAACAACAACAAATGTTACAACAACAGCAGACTCAGCAACAACAATCTCGTGTCGCCGAATTAGAGCATGACTTGCTTATGTTCAAAAGTCAATATGATAATGATCAACAGTTATTGCAACAATATGATGGTCGGGTTAAGGGATTGGAAACTGAATTGATGACTATAAATAATACTGCAAGTGAACAAGTTGCAGCCAAAGATGAACAGATTCGGAATTTGGAAGAGCAAATTAGCAATTGGTCAAAGAAATACGAATCATTAGCTAAGTTGTACTCGCAGTTACGTCAAGAGCATTTGAACTTATTGGCAAAGTTCAAAAAGATTCAACAAAAAATCAATAGTGCCCAAGAATCAATCTTAAAAAAGGAAAAGTTTGAGAAGGATTTGAAGGCCAAAAATATTGAGTTAGCAGATTTGATCCGTGAGCGTGACCGTGCAAGATTGGAGTTGGATAGACTTAAGGCAACGAAGGATCAGGAAATTGAAAAGCTTGAGGCTCAATTAAGAGAAACTAATATTCAATTGAACGAATCAGGAAAAATGCAATCATTGAACATGTCTACAATCATATCCAGACATCAAAGCGAAATGGAGAATTTGAGAAAACAATTAGAGCAACAGAACGGTAATGCCAAAGGCTTAGAAGTGTCCGAACTTGAGCAGAAATTGAAAGAAAAGGAAATTGATTTGGAAATTGCACATGAATCGTTAGAAAGTGCTCTCAATGAGTTGGCTTTAAGCAAGAATGACCAAGATGATGTTGTTAATGCTCAAATTGACCACATACTTTTGAAAAACATTGAAAAACAGAAGAATTTGGTTGATATCTTCTTGGCAAGCAGCGCTAAAAGAATTGCAAACACGAAGCATGAATTATCCAATCCAATGCAAGCTGGTAATTTGAATGCCTCTGCAGAATATTTTTTGTCTATTATTGAAGTATGCTCTGACTTAGCAACTGATTTTGCAAGAACCTTCAATAATTATCTTGTTGAAGGTAAGCAAACATATGGAGATGATGAGAATTTGAGTATCTCTGAGATTATTTTAACAAGCAGTGAATTGGTAAACAATTTGAATGATATTATGTTGAATGGAAAGGGTGTTTGTAATTCAGTCTCTAAAGAGAATGAAGATAACGTGTATGCTCGAATAGAAGCTACTCTCAACAGTACGGAAACATTTTTCATGGAATTACACTCACTGAAGTTGGGCAAACTTGAAAACGAAGAAGATCGAATTGATAAAGTCATTGACTGTAACGTGCAATTACAAAATGACTTGCAAGAACTTGGAAGATATGTCGATGACAACATGAGATCAAGTAGTGGTATAGATTTCCAAGGAAACTTAGAAAGTTTAGTTGATAGTGAGATGAACCAGGCTGTCAACATTGTTGACAAGGCCACTACCTTTTTGACTCAGTTGATGATTAAAGGTGGTCATTTAGAAGTTCACGAAGCAATCTTAAATGCGGCTAAAGCTATTACCGAGGCCATAAAATTGTTAATAATTGCTGCAACTAACTCTCAGAAGGAAATTGTTGATAAGGAGAAGGGTTCCAGCTCACCAACTGATTTCTACAGAAAAAACAGTAGATGGACAGAAGGGTTAATAAGTGCTTCAAAAGCTGTTGCTGGTGCCACAAACATTTTAATCCAAACCGCTGATGGTGTTTTACTGGGATCAAATTCAAATGAGCAATTGATTGTGGCTTCAAATGAAGTTGGTGCATCCACGGCACAATTGGTTGCAGCTTCAAGGGTTAAGGCAAAGTTTAAGTCCAGAGAGCAAGATAAGCTCGAAATCGCATCAGTTCAAGTTTCAGCAGCTTGCAAGTCTTTGGTCTCTAAAGTTCAGTCTTTGATTTCGAAGGATGAGGATAATAAGTTCAATGTTGACTTGAGCAAGTTGACTACATACGAAGGAAAGACACTCGAAATGGAGCAACAAGTTGAAATTTTGAAGCTCGAAAATATGCTCAGCTCAGCCAGAAAGAGGCTAGGAGAAATTAGAAAACGTGGTTATAAAGATGATAATAGTGATGAAGAAGTCTGAAGTCCTTTATTATATAATTTTCTTTATTATCCACAACATTATACTTGTAAACTTTAACTGATTGATTTCCTGATGGAGCCTGTAAGCTTTACACGAATTTCAAGACTTAAAATCCAGCACTAAAGCTCGGGTATTAAGATTATAGTAGCCAACTGACACGGAAAGACAGCTTTAGTTGGATATCCTAAAATTTTGATAATATGAAAACAATATATCAACTTTTTGTGTTTTAAATTCTAAATCCTAATTTTAGAGCTCAAGCTACTTAAATTAAAGGTAAAGAATCGAATAACGTCCATAGATTGAGTTTGAAAAGTATCAGTTTGCTGACAAGTATGGTTATACGCTTAGGAGAGGTCCTATCACGAAGAACTCAAACCAAAAGAAAGTTATTCTTATCAGAAGCCAGAAGCCATTACAGATATATTAATGGAGATTGAAATGTTAAAAGTGCAGGTACAATGCAGACATTCTACGTAAATATAATACTGATATTGTAGAGCAATATAGTCTTACAAATTCAATAAAGAAGTTGCAGTCAAATAAGATTATTCACATACTTATAATCTTTTCAGGCATGAAATATTGGAAAATAGAACACTTAATGCACAACACATGGTTAGAAAACGAATCTAACTATTTTTGAAATCTAGTACCAGAAGCGGAGATTGGGCATCCTTTTTTACATTAGAACACTTGAAAGGCTTAAATATGGCAGTAGACAGACAATAACCTAAACTCCACACTGCAACACAAAGTACCTCATATATATAGTATGAGATAAGATTATGTGACATCTTCAAAAGTATGGAAGTCTCAGCTAAAAAAATCATAGTTATGTTTGAATCGAGGGACTACTTTTGACATTCAGAATACTATAACGGGTTTTGCAAGCATCGGAAATTTCAAAGTAAGAGGCAAAATTGGTATAAACTCTGAAAAGGGTCATCGTGATTATCATATTAAAAGAATTGTTTCATATCGAGTGTAAAAATCTGAGACACTCACGGTACCAAGTAATATGATCCAGGATTTGAGAATCAATGCTACGGAGACTGATTAGCAAAATAATATCAGTATTAAGAACACCACCTTTTGAAATAACCTAACCAAATAATAGCATTTATAAGCAGAAGAGGAATTATAGTTAGTCGAATCCTAAATTTCAGAGATAATCAAATATAGACAAATGGAAAGCATAAAATAGGGGTAAATCTACTATAGTTCTATGAGTTTTGAAAAAAGATGAAGCCTGAGTAGAGAACCGAATTACCTTTAATACCTTGAAGCAAATATATATCAAAACGGCTAAATTCTAAGTAGGAAAGTCTTGGTACAAATCTTGTCTGATAGTAGGTGTGTGGATCAATTCAACTCGTTGACGTAGAAATGGCTACGAAGGTGTAAGTTTATACCTCCACAAAACTAAATGGAAGCCTTAGTAACATCGGATCCGTAAATTGGGCAATCTTGAACGCGAGAATAACGAGTGCAGAGGAAATAAATTTTGCAAAAGGTAACACTACTCTTCAATAGCCATATTTTTGGAATGACCAATATGATTGTTGGAGAAAATTGCAGTGCACAAGTTCGGAAAAGATTTTTGTGAATTTTGGTATCGGTATACTTCGATTAAGGGACAGGACACACAAGCTGATCCAATAGTTGAAAAAATATTCCGATATGCAGGTAATTCTTAAGGGCTGAAACGGAGAAATCCGATAGAAAGTATTAAGACACGGAACGTACAAATCCTGTTGAAGTGTTATGTCCAAAGAATGCGAAAGGATACAAAACTTGAATCTGAACGCTACAAACAAGAATTTGTTGAAGTATTGTGTCAGAAGACTGCGGTATCGTCTATGACACAATTATGTAATCTGTTGGTTACAAAACAAGCAGGCAAGGTGAGGAAATATTCAGAATATCCCAATGATACTAAACCTAAAAAAAATAAACAGAGCATTATATGGTCATATAATTCTTCTATACCCTGTTGGCTAAGTGTTGCTGCACCTTGTAAAAGTCTAATCAAATCATTTTTATATTTTTTTTACCCTTCAAGGTTTTCTATTTCATTAATTTATGGAATCAATTGGAATTGAACCAATACTATCAGATTGTAGGAATTTAAACCCCCATACCCCTACACCCAATGCAAGTACGTTACCTATTACGCATCAATATGTTATAATACACCGCGTTTTATTAGTATACCCTGATGAAGAATTGTGTCAGAAGCGTTTGTTGAAGAACTGTGTCAGAGGTGTTGAAGTATTCTGTGTTGCAGAATTGTATCAGAAAAAGGGATCGTGTATGACACAATTATCTAATTTGTTGGTTGCAAGCAGATAATCTACGGGCTAAAAATAAGCCACTATAAGTCTTACACTTAGAACAAAAATTTAGATTGATAAGTATCTAGTCTTTATTAAAAATTACTGATAATATAAGAAGACACACCTCAAAAAATACGTATTACTTGCGACTAAACTACTAACAGTGTGACCCGTATAGAAGAATTAGAGCGTCCATTTCTACAAGTTATGAGCTCCTTTAAGCTTCCCTATGATTTTGTTATGCTAACTGATAGTAGCACGTATGTGTCTTGGCGGAGAAGTCTTGAAAAGGCTCTTCGTACTAAGACGGCGTCAAGAAGTAGGCCTTTATCATTGGAGGTACTATTCCTGACTTTCGGGATGCTCTTACTATTGCTGAGAAAAATAAAGATTTTGAGACTCTTGAGCATATTGCTCATGGTATTTTTATTAGTACTCTCTCGGGTCCTATTTGTCAAAGTTCAATCTTGGCATTCTAGCGATGTTTTATCAACCATGGCAATTATAAAGTTAACGCTGTACGTACTGACAATGGTGGTGAGTTTATGTCTAATGCGTTAAATCTGTTTCTTAATTCTGAGGGGATTATCCATCAACTTACGGTTCCTTATCATCTGAATCAGAATGGTGTTGCTGAACGCATCATCCGCTATATTGTGGAAAAGACAAGGTGTCTTCTCCAGTCCAGTGGTACTCCCAAAGTGTTTTGCCCGTATGCCATGTTGACTGCTGCACAGCTTATTATTTTTTTACCGAGTAGGACGATAGATAATAAGATTCCCTACTCGATGTTTTGTGTTCTGTCTAAATCCGCTCCAGAGATTCATCCATTTGGATGTCGCGCATTTGTTAATATACCTCTCGCTGTTCGATCAACTAAACTTGCATCCACAGCCCATTCTGGTATTTTTCTTGGATTTGATATCCAACGTCGCGCTTGTTTGATATGGATTCCTCGCACTGGCTCGATCGCCACTTCTTCTGATGTGCGTTTTATTGATTTGGAGTCTCCATTTTTGACAGATTCTATTAATTGTCTTCCAGTACGTGTTCGGAGCGGTCGTATCCTGGGAGCCCTCCATGCCTTCTAATAATGGTGGAGTGATCTATTTACCCCCTTGTACTAACTTTCTACCTTCTAGTTCTACCAAACCATCACACTTTAGTGAGTCCAATGTTATTTCTGATTCTCCTGCATCTGAATATTCTGATATTGATATGCCACTTCCTGGTGATCTCCTTTCATCTCCAACACTTGAATTCCCTCAGGAAACTGTCCCTGAATGCTCCCTGCCTTTCGTTGATTCTGATGTCCTCTCGACTGATGCTGTCTTGCATGATAACTCAATCCTTCAGCCTAGTTCTCACACTACCCCCAATGATGTTTCGACTGAGTATTCCATACAATCTTCCAATGTTGACTATTCTGACCCGGAGTTTGTTCCTTCTCGGGATATTTCGCTGGTTGCTTCTCCCGTTTGGACACAGGGTGCTTCTCCACGCATTGATTCAGAGAGGGAAGTGATATTAGAATCAAAGCATTTCGAAAATGAAAAAT